TGCACATCCCTAATGCGAACACAAGTCATCTGAATGCGAAAGATCTGACTTAGCCAGATGGAACAGTTCTACTTTGCTTGGCAACCTGAGAAAGATTTCTTATGGAATCATCAAATCCAGAATCAGGCACAGTCCAGGCTGCAATACAATAAAACAAGAGAGCAATAAAAATTCAGCCTATATTTACAAGCAAAAACACTATTCTTCATGGTTTCAAGAGACTCCAAAGCATGTTTGGGTACCTCACAAAAAGCCAGAATGCAACACCCTTATTCACAACTAATAGTACCTTACATACATATCATAAGTACTCTCAATGGGAACTATTTGTACAGTATGGGATTACTCAGTGTGAGCAAAGGTATCATAATCTGGCTTAAAGAAAGTATCAACCACTAAAAAACAAACAAGCTGACATTGATTCAAACATACCAGAAATACTCCATCATATTGCAGTAGTGAGCTTCCTCAAAGGGCTATCCAAAAGGGGGGATGGGGAAAAACGACTTTCCAAAGGACTAGAAATACTTCAGAGCCAACCAAGAAAACAAAAAAGAGAAATTTGCTCAAGTGCCTCTCCTGTTACAACAGCAAAATCCAAAGCCCATGTCCAAACTCAGAAACTGACTAAAATAAATCTTCACATGGTGAATTCTTTGCCCACAGTTATTAGAAAATTGAGAATTCCTGGAAAAATTAAAAATACTTCGAGATCTGCAACATTTGGAAAAAATATATATGTAATATTCCCTCAAAATGATACATGTACAGCCATGAACTCTGCAAATTGTTTATGTGCAATGAATATCTTGCCTTTAGCACCAGCTATGCATTTAGTGTGTCTGAAGGTCTTAACACTGGTTATTTCTATTATTAAAAACACTTCTTCTTCATTATAGACGAACAGTAAAAAGCGCAAGATGAGCAAAGATACCAGGTGACTAGAAGAAAGTCCCAAGCTTACATCAAGGGGGTTTAATTCATCTCTGATGTGAATGTAGTTACATACACCAGGGAGGAATTAGGCCTACTGAGCTTTGAAGAGTTTGTTCTTTTGATTTCATTTGTGGAGTGATTTTTCTCATGGATCATTCCAGGAACCACTTTTGAGAGGGTAAAAATACTACAGGCAGATTTATTCTCTGTAAAAATCACTGACAAGAAAAAAAAAGAAGGGTTATAAATAATATTGATTTGGGGTGAACTGGCAGAACCTTAAAATCAATATAGTTTATAGAACAGTCAGATATAAAATAGAAGGAGCTACACAAGTCATGACAAGATTATTACTTAGGGCCAAATTCTGCCCTCAGGTAAGAAAGGGAAGAATGTATTTTCATCCTATAAATGAAAACAGTTTTCTACGGCAAAATCTAACCCAGGGATCTCAAACTCAAATCACCACGAGGGCCACATGAGGACTAATACATTGGCCCGAGGGCCACATCACTGCCTCCTCCCCTGTTTGGCGGCGGGAAGCGCTGGGAGGTAGGCGGAGGAGCGGGGACGCAGTGCGCTCGGTGGGGCGGAGGGTGAGGGGAGCTATGGTGGGCCGAAGGAAATAACTCCACAGGCCAGCCGCATGTTTGGGACCCCTAGTCTAACCTATCATCATTTTCCCCCTTTTCAACACGTTAGTTAGTTTTTATTTTTGTCTTATAGCACATTGATGTTGTTAAAGATGAACCGCTACTGAAACAAAATAATAAATACTTTCCACTTGCATAGCATCTTTAATTTAAAATCATCAAAGCTCTTTACAAACTATTAGATATGTTTCAACACCCTCCTTGGTGACGACCCTATTTTACAGATTGGGAAAACTAAGATACAAAGAGATTAATGGCCAAATTTTCAACAGTATTCACTGATTTTGCATGCCTTAATATCTGGATATCCAACTTTAGAGTACTATTGAAGCCAGATTTTCAAAAGTGCTGAGCAAGCACAACTCCAACTAAAGTCCAGTTGGTGCTCAGCACTTCTCAAAATCACACACTGTGTCTCAAGTTGAGCAGTCAAAAACTGAAGCATGCAAAACAAGTGGCCGAAGTGGCTCGCCCAAGACCATAACAGAGTGGGAAATAATGATGATGAGTCCTGGCTCACAGTCCACTTCTTGAATTTTAAAATCCCATTGTCTCGCCACTTCCACGCTTCAGAAAAACAGGTATATGTATTCTTCTACATGAAAGATTTGTTGATTTAGCAGACTGTGTATATACAGTACTTCTCAATACAATGCATTGGAAAATAATACTGCTTAGAAATACAATCTATATTTTTCACTGGTTCTTTTAATCAAAGTTATTTAATGCATTAAGACAGGTTTCAGAGTAAACAGCCGTGTTAGTCTGTATTCACAAAAAGAAAAGGAGTACTTGTGGCACCTTAGAGACTAACCAATTTATTTGAGCATAAGCTTTCGTGAGCTACAACTCACTTCATAGGATGCACAAAAGCTTATGCTCAAATAAATTGGTTAGTCTCTAAGGTGCCACAAGTACTCCTTTTCTTAATGCATTAACTTTCACTGGAATCTGGACAAGAATTTCTCTTTTGCCTCAAGCTGGCCTATAACAAAAGCTCTTCATATTAACAAACAATATATTGGATTTATATCATTCCTCTGAACCTTTCATCCTGAAGGATCCCAAAGTGCTTTACAAATGTAGTTTGACATAGAAACAATATCAGGTTTCACTACTGAAGTGAAATGCAGCAGCTGTTTATTAACATCCACCACCATACACCTTCCGTTAATCAGCAGTTAATTAAGCAGTAGGATATGGGGTTTGGGATAGGAGGTGGATCCATGAGGCATTCTCTCTCTTATGAGGTGGCCCAAAAAATGAATGTTGGCCTGTCCAACTTAAACTGCAAGGGAAACATAGGTGGGCAGAACATAATTAAACTTTGATGTCCTGACCAACTCTTAAAGTGAACACTTTATTCTCGTGAAATATGCCACCAACTGACACACAGTGTTTAATGACCACACTAATTAATTTTTTTTTTTAAGTCTCATCAGAAAGGCAGCACTTCCAAAAAACACAGGGTCTCTTATAGCACGAGGTATGACTGCAAAGTGAATTTAGCTGGAATATTAGCAACTTCCAGGGATTTCTACTCTAAAATGACATTATATTCTTGAGAGGAGAAAAAGATAAGCCAGCTTACAAATGGACCACATAATTAATGAGAGAAAGTGTGTCAGTGTAGGAGATTCTTCAGTTTCTTCTCATGCCTGTTAACTCAGGCCAAAATGTTCAAACTTTGGTATCTAAATTTGGCTCTTAAATCCATCGTTAGGCACCTAAAATACATTTCTGAAAATAAGGCAGCTTTTCTGAAGGCAATGGGAGCAGCACATAAACACCAAAAGTAGAAGTGGGGTGAGTAACAGTGGATTTATGAGCTTAACTGCAAGCACCGAAGTTTGAACAGTTTGATGTAATTCAGAGGCATGAAAAGAACCCCACGCTACTCTTACACTGCCTCTCAGTCTGCCATTAATTGTGTGATCCAATCGCAAATCAGTATATTTTCCCCCCTCAAGAATATAACACCATTTTAGGGTGGAAATCCTTTGAAGCTGCTAATGTTATTCCAACTAAGTTCACTTTGCAGCACAGCAGTTTAACTGAAGACTTTTCCTGCAATCCAGACCTAATTAGGGAATCGGTTTCAAGCAATTTGGTAATTAAACACACCTGCTTAAAATATCTCAAAAGCATCAATAAAACAAAACAGGTGTAAAAATTGTAATTAAAATCATAAAAAGGACAAACATGAACTGGTCCTTTTTCAAAGTGGATGCAATGGAACTGAATTTTAATGTCTCTTTCTTTAGCCCCACATTAGATGCTTTTCCCCCCAAAACACTGAACCTATGCTTCCCCAGATGCCTAGGTTAAGAATAGCAAGAGAACTAACAGAAGAGGATTCTTGCTATTCATTATTAAAGCATTACATTATTTTTAAATAAAAATGAATGTGTGATTATACTGGAAATATTTATTACTACTTTCTTCTCTCCAGACAGCATTTGGGCAAGGCTGTCTCCTGTCACCAGTTTAGTGCCTGGGGTAGTTTTCTCCACATCAACCTACATGGTTATTCTTTCCTGCAGGCAGCAGGGAATGCTCTCTCCTCTCCGTATTTGTATACATATATAGATGGGGAAGCAGGGTGTAGATGAGTGTGGGAGTATTACCCTATCAGCATCCATGTGTGTACATGTAAGGGAAGTTTCTCCTCTCCCTGCAGCATGTGGGGAGGGGTGTTTTGCCTACCAGCATCTATGTGTGGGATTTTTACAGGAGAAAGGGGATTCAGTTCTCTAGTCTGTGTCTATGAAAGGGAAGACGGGAGGGGGGAGAGGTGGAGAGAGAGAAGTGTGAGGATTTTCTCCTATTAGTATCCATGGTTTGGTTTTGGGGATGAGATAAGAGGGGGATAAGGAGGGAGTCTCTCCTGCCAGCACTTCTGTGTGCATGTGTCTAGAAGGGTGGTGGGCAAAGGGTGTCTATATGTGCATATAGGGGTGGGTCCTGTCAGCATGCCTGAGTTTTGGGGAGCAGGAAGGGAGAGAAGGGGTTCTTGCATCTCAGCATCTGTGTGTGCATAGGCACATGCAGAGGGAGGCTTTCATGCAAGGAGGTGTCTGTATGCAGTGAGGTTCAGAACAGTCTCTCACACTGGCATTTGTGCATATGGGGTCAAATTAGGAAGGTCTCCAGTGCTCAAATTATGGGAAAAACGCACAGGGACCCTGAATGTCAAGTGGCTTGCTTTAATGTAAACAGAAGTGAGAAGTAAGGAGGGGGGGCTATAAGACAGAAGTGAGTTAGCCTTTAAACACAGTAAGGGGGCCCAGCACCCGTCACTGGGGAACCCGCTTGCCTGCAGGCTGTCAGAGCCTCTCTCTCTTCGTCTCTCGCTGGCTAGCTTGCAGGGGCGCTGCTGCTGCTTGTCAGTCACATGAGTTAGTCACTCACCGCCCGTGATCTGTGCAGGGCCGAAGCACAGCACCAGCTGAAGCCACAAGACCACCACGAAGAGTCTCCGGGGGGACGGGTACTGCTGCTGCTTCTCTAGGAACGGATCCCCGCTGCTCGGGTTCATTCCATGATACATCTTTTATCCACAAAGGGCAATAATCTGCAACAAGAAAGAGAATATTATCTTGCCATCTCCCAGTGATCTCAGAACAGAGCATCAATCTCTCCCTTCCTCCAGATGAAATCTCTGCCCACTCCTAGCTCCGACATGCAACAGAAACCTCTTTGGGGCAAGGACCTTGCCACCAACACATCTGGACAGGGCTATGGACACCAAAGACAGGATATAAAATAATAATTATTATAATCATCTTTGTCCATCCCGTCCCCCACTGTCTGTTCCCTGACATGCAAACCACACTCCCCCAAATGCCCTCTCCTAATATGCAATCCCCTGCCTGCATGCTGCATATGCACGAAACCCCTGTGCCATTCTGAACTCTCCTTCTACCTCCTGCAATAGCCAAGACTCCCTGGGAATGGGATGCAGTTTCCAAACAGCAAGTCAGCCTCAACGCAAAGACCTTCACTGTGCTGCTCCATGCAATTCACAGCTTGCTACCGTGATAAAGTATTATAACCACCGAGGGTCTCCGGTTTGCCAAGACCACCCCGGACTTAGATCTCTCATCTTATAAATATTGCAACGCTCCCATTTCCACCCAGGAGCGAATTGTCGGGGGAGGGGGGGGGGGTTACTGAATGCAGGCCCCAGGTTCTGTTAATTCTGCCAGGGGCAAATACACGCTTCCCCCTTTAACTCCCCACCCCGGCTTCCCCCTGACGCCCGCTTCTAGCGCTGCTCCCCTTTACGCTCCCCCATTTACTGCCTTGCCCCTTGAGGCTGCTTCCCCGGCGCACGGAGACAGGTGCGCACTGCGCCCTTACCTGAGCGCTGCCCGCCTGCATGGAGCCTCCTTGGCTGCCTCCCCCGGGCGAGCCCCCAGCCGGGCACGACCCGCTGCTGCCGCCACCACAGCCGCCGTAAGCCGCGGCAGCTCCCCCGCCCGCTGGAGGGGACGGGCTGAGCCACACACGCAGCGCGCGCCGCCGCTCGCGCTCATCCCACCTGTGTCTGGCGGGAGGGGGGAGAAGGCGGGCGGCCCCAGAGCCAAGGCTACAGCGGCTGCGGCAGCTGCCAAGGGGAAGCCCGTGCCCGAGCCTGCACCTGCCCGCTGCACGAGCCGCCTTCTATCCCCTCGCCCACCCAGAGCGCGCGCAGCCCCCACCCATTCCGCATTCCCCAGTGCTGCGTGGAGCAAGCAGGGGTTGCTGCTGCAAAATCTGCTGGGTCTCCCGCTTTTGCAGGGACTGCGGGAGAAAGCAAGAGCCTGGGGTGCCAGCCCTCCTGGGCGCCCTATTATGCATACATGACAGCAGTAGACAAAGTCGTCTGCATTTTTTTTTTTTTTTTTTTTTTTGGTAATACACTGTGCTGCATGCAGGGTAGGTGCTGACACGAATTTGTTGCCATTATGCTCGTGTCCCCTGGGCTGCATGTACAGGAGGGACAGGCAAGAGTCTGCTGTAAATGTTCCTTTGCCTCATGCTTAATACATGTCAGGATTAGGCCAGAGCATGCAGTAAATACACTTACTTGTGCCACTTGCTACAGGCATATCAAGAGCTAGCCAGAATCTGCTGCAAATCTTCCAATGTTCCCCATCCAGCATGAGGCATAGAAGCCCGAGGGCATATCTACACATAAACTTCAGTCGACCTATGTATGTTAAGTCGATCTACAAGCAACTGCAGTAATTACAGAATGACAGTCAATAGATGTAAGTAACACAGTGTCTACAAGGACACTACATTTCCTTAACTTCACCAACATAATCCCTACGCCTCTCGTAGAGGTGCAGTTATGTCGGCATAGTAGGGCACTTACATCGGTGGGAGCAAGGCTGTAGTGTGTATACTGATGTAATTAGATAGGTGTAAGATGCCTTACCCCAACACTTACACTAACTGTAGTCTAGACCAGGCCTGAGTTTCTGTGGCACATGTGCATTCATGACAGGAGCCTAGTACAGTCATGTAGCACTTTCTGTGTGCATGACCAGAGTTTTATGAAACCCCTGTTATTGTGAGCCACTTCCAAAGACTGCTAAATATCAACCAAAGCATCTTCTTCCACCTGGTTTGTGCTTCAAAACAGGGCAAATACATAGGCAGCCTTGAGGGTTTAATATCGTTTAGCCTATGGGATGTTTGACCAATTATATGTAACATCCTATGTGAGACATGATTAATTCATATTATAACATTCCTGACATTCCTCACAGATTGTGTGGGCAAGGGGAAGGTGTATTACAAAGCTCTTTATTCTGGTATTTGCCTCGCGGGGTGAGGGAAGAGCAATCAGGACTGTTGGTTGAAGCAGTTTGCCTATTAGGAAGCCGTACCCAGCAGGATTTAGTCAGTCTGGAGAATTCACCACGACGGGATATCACTGAGTCAAATATAGTGTCTGGGTTTAAATAAGGATTGGAAAACTGTATGTCTTCTGATGACATTTATTGAGTTAGCTAGTGTTGATGTGCTCACTGCCTTCTACTGGGTAGAGTCAGAACTGCCCAACTGAGTGTCAGGCCCCATATTGCTAACAAACTGAGAGAGATTCTCCTTCAACTCAGGTGGTAGGAAGCCTATGCTTTTGAAGCAGATTATGGTGCACATATGGGCAACTAAAGTTCTTGAACAAATGCATGCATGTTAAGGTAAGATAGGAAGCTATAGTTAGAGTAGACCAGAGTAGCAGAGCTCACCCATTTTGATGGGTTTTCTCACAAGTCTGGAAATTATGTGGTGGTAACAGGACACAGCAAGTGGAAGAAAATGGGGCAAAAGAAGAAACATATCTGGAAGGAGTTTCTCTCTCCAAGCGGGGCCCTAGCCAGCCAAACCCAACTATATGCATTGGGGTATAGTGCAGGGATTGGGTAGCAGTACATCCCCGGTGCTCCTCACCCCAATTTCTACTTAAACAGAAAATCTATAGTGATTAGATTAATTAATCACTATAATTAATCAAAGTATATCAATTAATATTAATCACAGTATTAATATTGTCAATTAATCACAGTATATCACATGATTAACTCAAAAAAATTAATCGCGATTAAAAAAAATTAATCACACTTATAATAGAATACCAATTGAAATGTATTAAATATATTTGGATGTTTTCCTACATTTTCAATATTGATTTCAATTACAACACCGAATACAAAGTGCACAGTGCTCACTTTATATGATTAATTTTGATTACAAATATATGTACTGTAAAAATGAAACAAAAGAAATATTTTTCAATTCACCTCATACAAGTACTGAAGTGCAATCCTGAAAGTGTAACTTACAAATGCAATGGAGTTGCTTCTTCCTCTGAAGCAATCAAGTGCTGGCCAATACAGTTGGCAGAATATCTAAGTAGTTTGAGCAATGTTCTGATGCAGTATGGCAATTCCTATGTTATCTCTATTCAGGAGACCCTTTTTTTCCATCCCTGAGTTCAACATGTTGGGGCGGGTGCCCAGAAACACAGCTCCCTTCTGGAAGGAGAGGGGACAAATGGAAAAGAGTGTCCCTTTTGATAAACAGTTATTGCTTAATCATTGGCAGCTGCTATTGAATCTCCCAGTATTCTTATGTCTGTACAGAATGCAGAGAATACACAGTCCTTTCCCCAAGGAACACACAGTCTTAAAGTCTAATCCTGTGAAAAGCCAACTACCCTCAGTGTCAAAGTACCATGTGCTCAGGGCTAAGGGATCAAGCCCTAAGTAGACAAACAACCCCCATCGCATACACAAAGCACTAGGTAATCAGGAAGTGGATTTATCGCTCAATGATACAGCTATTTATTTTGTATCTTATTAATAAATTAAAAATAGCAAATCCTTTGGTGAGTGGCATAACAACACTAACTGCCTTCATGGCACATGCATGTTTAGAGTCAGGACTGGAAAGAGGCGAGGATGGCTATATGGTTCACCAAGTTAGGGAAGGGAAGGCATTCCAGGTCAATAAATCCACCAACGCTGTCCAAACAAAATGCTCACGTATCCTTCTGGATTCACTTTTAATCAGCCCAGAATCTCCCTGTCACTGGCTGAAAGGGTCCTTTAAGGAGGTTGGGGACCAGTCTCACTTGTGGCAGATTTAACCCCCTTAGCAGGTGTACAAGGGTCACATCACAGGGGGAGCATGTAACTAAAGAGGCTGCTGGAGGAGATACAAGTGCAAGCCTAAGTTCAGTGAGGTTCTAGGGAGATCAAACATAGGAATGAGCACTCTGTTGAAAAATGACAGAATAGACATAAAAAGGCCAGTGAGGAGGCCTAGGCTGGGTATATAGGAAGCAGTTCTGGGAAGAAGAGGGGGCATTTCACATGGCAGACAACCCAACTGTTTAGTGTCTCAAGGCTGCAGACCTGTAATAGAGGGTGGGTTGGGTTTCCTGCATGCTACCATGTTGTGAGGTGGGCTCCTGCCAACAAGGGAAAGAAGGAATTGACTGGAACCCAGGAGAACTCGAATCTGAGCTAACAGCTGGAGGAAGAGGACCCTGAGAGGAAGGGCTGTTCCTAACAAGAATGGAATGGAAGAATGGTTTTGTTTCCTTTTGGACTTTAATGCTGGAAGGGATGAACTTTTGTGACTTAGCTGGACCACATCCCACAAACCAAAGCCACCCACCTCCATCCAGACCCAAGATAAACAATGACAGTACCATGCCTGATTGCCCCAGAAACACATTCCTGTTATTTAGGAACATGCATAAAATAAGGCCAAGGGAGATTCTTGCTTAATTGCAGCAGCTTGGGTTTGATTCCATCTGGTGAGAGGCAGTTCTGGCTCTGTTCCAGATAGGAGGGGGAGCTTTTCAGCTCTGTCCTAGCTGGTGTGAGCAGGTAGTTTTTGGCTTTTTTTCTAACACGCAGAGGTGTCTTGGTTTAATTACAGTTTAGCTTCAATTTGAGGAGCTGTTTCCTGCTTACTCCCAGCTCATTTGCAAGTAGGGGAATACATTAATGGTGACCACCTACATTTCAAGAAAATATAGGCCAACTCATCGAAAAATGCTGTGTGAAGCTCCCTGTTATGGGCTCTTCCCTCCTCCTTTCCAGCACGTGTGTGTGCTCACACAGTTTTATCTGTGGTACAATATCATACCTGTGCATGATTACTGCTTGAAAATAGACCTTTTATTTGATCAAATGCTTCTGAACTCCTTCCTGGATATATACATGGTTTGGTTAGAGCTAATGTGAGCATTGTAGGGAAGGGAATATTGCAGGCTAGTTCCAGCTGGGCATGGGTGTAAAGCAATGGTGGGCAAACTACAGTCCGCAGGCCGCATCTGGACTGTCAGACCAATTAATTCATCCCTCAGCTCCCCCCGGAGAGCGGGCTCGGGGGTTTGCCCTGCTCCGGCGCTCCAGCTGGGTACTAGGGTTGGGGGCTTGCCCCACTCCGCATGGTTCCTAGGAAGCAGCCAGCATGATCCCTCTCCAGCTCTGCGTGCTGCCCCATCCACAGGCACTGACCCTGCAGCTCCCATTGGCTGTAATTCCCAGCCAATCAGAGCTGCAGGGGTGGTGCCTGTGGACGGGGCAGTGCGCAGAGCCGCCTGGCCGTGCCTCGGAGCCAGAGGGCGGGCATGCTTCCAGGAGCCGCTTGCAGTAAGTGCCACCCGGAGCCTGCACCCCTGAGCCCCCTCCATGCCCCAATCCCCTGCCACAGGCCTAATCCCCCTCCCGCCTCCAAAGCCCTTGATCCCAGCCCAGAGCACCCTCCTGCACCTCAAACCCTCCATCCCCAGCCCCACCCCAGAGTCCTCATTGCCCCCCCGCACCCCAACCCAGAGCCCACTCCTGAACCCTGAACCCCTCATCCCCAGCCAGAGCCCTTCTGCACTCCTACCCCCAATTTCATGGGCATTCATAATCCGCCATACAAGTTCCATACCCCAATGTGGCCCTCAGGCCAAAAAGTTTGCCCGCTCCTGGTGTAAAGGGATGGTAAATCTAATAGAGAAGCGAAGAGTTTCATTCAGAAGTCACCTCTGTGATGAATTATTTTAAAATATAAAAGAGCCTAATCTCTTTCCTAGTCCATGGCCAACAGAAAATCATTTCAAGTTGTAAATACACGTCACTTCAAAAACCATTCAGACCTTTGTAGCCACAAACCAACTTCCTTTTTTTTAAAAAAAAATGAGCCACAAGGAAAAAAAAAAAAGACAATACTATAAAAAATAAACCTAGACGTAAAAATAAGGAAACAATTTAAAACAAAATTAAATTAATCCAGCTGATGTTTAATGGGGTGGTGATATGAGTCCTGAATGATTTCTAAGACTAGACTATTAAGCCCCAAGTCAGCTTAGTGACCTATAAAACACACCATGTCACGTCCTTATGGTAGGTATTTTCTTATATTCATAATAGACTGAGCATTTCCACACAAATTTGTGGTCAGTTGCTGGGTTTGGCGGTTTATTTCAACCTGTTTATAAGCTCAATATACAGAGAATTTTCCAGAGAAATCCTCATATCTGCAATGTGATGTATTTCGGCTCTTACTTGGAAATGTTAATGGTCCCAAATCTCAATGATGCAAATTGTGTCCAAATACCATGCTGATGAGCACCTTATAAATCCATATAATAATACATGGAAGCTTTTCAGGAAAAGGCCTTCTATTCTTAAATGTCGGAAGTGCCTAGAGCAGTTTTAGGTATTATATAAATATTAAAAAAACAGCATCTATCCTATCCTTCAAACAACCCAGCTAGCCTAATTAGTAATAGGTAACCCTAAGAAGATTAGGGTAAACTCTGAGAAATTCAGGGGTTTCAAAGTTTATCATACCCTCTGAGATCTCCTTTCCATCCTATTTATCTTATCAATTTCATTTATAATGCAATTATAATATATCTTGGTGCCATATGTACAATTTAAAAAACAGCAGTCATCTAAAGGCTTTTCCTCCTCATTGCCCATCTTGATTTCACCACTGTCCTGCAAGACCTGTCCTCTTGTTTTATTCTTCCTTAGAGGATTGCTGTCGCCGTAATCACCGTGATTGCATGGAAAGCAATCGTTCCAAGCAGGCACATTTAAGGTGGTCACTTGGAACAGATGCTTGCCTAATAAGCCTGGTTTCAAGCATAAGTATGTAATTAGTGCAACAATTATTACTTATAACAAATTTTGAATCACTAACACCAAGGTTAAAGAATAGCAGTTTTGCAGTTGCTGAGTCTGATCCTGCAGAGGTGCTAAGTAACCTCAGCTCCCACCAATTTTAAATGGGAGTTCAGGGTGTTCAGTTTTCCTACAAGGAAAGGGCTTTAGTAGAGGCCTCCCCTTTCTTAATATAATTCATAGTGGTTGGACCATGAGTATACTCAGTCCTTGAAGGTAATCACAGGAGTCTCGAAAGGATGGTTCTCTTTTCATCAGTGAATCATCAGCACTTACAGATAAGCAGCCCGGTCTAGGACCAATCCACAAGCATGAGTAACTAGGCATCAGGATAGTGTTTATCAGTTAGTGCTAAATAAGCTTTATTATAAAGACTTGGGGCACAGGGAAGACCTGAGATTGAGCTACTTTTTTTTTTTTTAAAACTAATGACTTACGTACCTGCTTTTGCTTTGGTGTTTTTTTAAATAATTAAATAAAAGCCTAACAGAGAGCATCTTGATGCCACAGAGAGGTTCAGTAAACACAAAAGCATTCTTTATTCTCTTATTTCATTCAACAAAACCCAGAAGAAATTAAACAAAAATGAATCCTGCACAGACTGCAAACTGAACCACTTAAAACAGGAGGTCTGTTCCTTTAGCTGGAGAAGCAAAACATTACATTTTGTACTTTATTGATGAGAATTAAATCCTACTCGCAGGAGTTATCCCACTGATGTAGTTACTTTTGTGAGAAGAGACAGCAAGCCCTTACTTGGTTATTTCCAGTTGAAGTATTCATCAGTCACACAAACAAACACCATTTTAAAACCAATTCCAGTATTAAAGCATTTTAAGAGGTTATTAATACCTGCCTCTCTCATACTCCCACAAGACAGTTCAGTATGTATGCTTTTTAATATACAGTATTGGATTTGCAACACCACTCTAAATAAGAAAACTATCAACATTATGTAGGAACCCACAATGAAGGTTTCTAGGATTCACAGTAAACTTTTAAGTGAAAGTCACGGGGTGTAGGATACCTCAGGATATATTTAGTAGGATAGAGTACCTTTCACTTCCAAGTCATGGTTTCCAGTTCATTACTTATTGAATCTCATTACTAACTGAGGGCTGGCTTGTGGAAAAATGAGAGTGTCTACTAGGAAATGGATGGAGACAAGTGGCTGCGTCACAACCAGCAACCTTGTTTGCCATCTCAGGACAGATGGCTAAGCATGGAATGGGATATAATCCAAATCAGACATTTATCCCTAGAGATGGTCCCTTGAAATCAGGCAGCACAAGCCATTGGATAGGAAACTAGACTGGGAGCCAGTAGACTGCAGGGGAAATCTTGACTGCCAGAGAAGTTAATG